TGCTCTCATGACTCATTGAGTGACTCCACTGACCAGTCAAATGGTGGCATGCAGTCTTACGACATCACATTTTAATACCTGTCCAGTTGAGTAGGTACTATTGTAGCACCTTGTACCGGCTACTATCACCTATTGGAAAACCTTGAAAACCTTGGCGAGTCGAGTCGATCCGAATGGGTACTAATGGAAAAGGGGCTACTGTCAGTTGAAGCAGTTCTCCATCTGCTGAAGGTTTTGGATATGCTACCCTTCTCATCTGCAATCTATAATGGTCAACTTGAGAGTATTTTGGACAGTGGGCCTAGCTGGTTAGTGATAACTTTCCAAAAATAAAAGTGAGAAGTTTGTCCAGTACTGAAGAGACTGTGTCAGTGGATTGTGGGGGAACAAAAGAAAAAAAAAAAAAAAGACAAAGATTGCAAAATAGAATTTAGTTGGGTGGCTCGCCCAAGTAAGTGTGTGACAAACACTGTAGTTAACGTACTCAAGTCTGAACTCTAATGTCTCCTTGATTAAAGTGAAAAGAAAAGAAAATTAAAGAACAAAAAGAATCCATCTCTTCAGTGCACCTCTTCAGAAAGTACTGTCTGAGAAGCTTCTGATAACTAACAGGGATACATGCTGTATGCCTAACCATTGCTTACAGCTCCAAGTCCCATGATCTTTTGTGCTGCTCTGCCTCTGCTCAAGAACCATAATGAAAAACAGACAAGCTCTCCCTTTGCAGCAACCACAAAAACCCCTACTCACTACACATGAGAGATTAGCTTGCTCATTAGGAGAGAAGGAAGGACGAGGAGAGAGGGAAGGAGGACAAAAAGGAAGAGGGATGCTTTTCAAGGAGGAGGGCAAGGGTGCTCTCTCCAGAAAACAGGCCGGGTCCCCTTTTCTTACAGACAATGCCAATCAGAAACGGCTATTTAAAGAGATGACCTGCTTTACATGTTTTGCAGCAGTGGTGGAGGTCAAACAAAAGTTAGTTTATATATGAAGCATGCTAGTGTTTGTGCAAAGCTGTTGTCTCATTAAAGAGCTTATAATCAGTGCCAGTGACTTTTAAATAAGACTTTCTACACGAAATTGTCGGTTGAAAAACAGTTTTCTCACACTACTACTTATGCTCTCCAGCTGACAACCTCAATCACTCATCGTTCATGTCAAAATACATGAATTTAAGATGATGAATGCCGCGTGGAGTGAGGCAAAGTAGGGGGGAAGAAAGAAACATCAGTGGTTTGCAAAACACTCACTTGCTGGGAACCAGCCTTGTGCCAATTTAGTCTATTCAGCTCTTAGAGAAATAAGCTAAATGGCTCAAGGATGTGAAAGGTTGTTCTTGGGTATAGGGCTGCCACAAACGATTATTTTGATAGTCGACTAGTCACCGATTATTTATGCGATTAGTCGACTAATCAGATCATCATTCACTGGACGTAAAACTACAGCTTATTGCACCAGCAGCATCTGCTCTTATATAACTATCATTAGCTTACAGCTTTAAGCTTTTAAGGTGCTAACTAAAAATAAAGACAAGATGATAGTTTATTCAATTTTAATGAAATTTGCAGATTGTTTCGGTAAAGTTTAATAAACTCCTTGCTATCTAAAATATAACAGGACACCGGAGAATATTCTCCAGCATCTCACACTTCTGATAATCAGTTGTCTGCTTGACGTTTATTCAGCTGCGTAAAAACTATAACTTTAATCTCAGCCAAACCGATTTACTCAGGAACAAATAAAATACAAAAAAAAAAAAAAAAAAAAAAAAAAAAAGCCAAACAACAACATTTTTAATTTATCTAAGTGACTCATATATATTTAATCTCAGTAGTGAAAGACGGCGGTGGGTTTGAAAACAATTTGCCGGGAGTCCGGTGTTCTCACGGCGCTAGTGACCTAGCCCCCGGCTAGCTATCGAGCTAGTGGGTAACAGACGTCTCCGAAAACGTCGGAGCGCTTTTGAAAATATGTGGTGTCCTGATAAACTGAGCCGATATTTGAGGTTTACACAGCTACATTCTCGCCTGAAAATATGTTAAACGTTTATTTTGTGACCCAGAAAGAATAATAAGAGTAATATTAAAACTAACTAGCTACCGCCATTGTTGGAAACTAAGCTGGGCCGCGCTATGAATTCTGGGACACAGCTGCTTCTTCTTCGGGGTTTAACGGCAGCTGGCATCCTTGTACATGCAGTGCTGCCATCTTCTGTTTCAGTCCGTTATTACACTCTTAAATCCTGCTACTTATTCCTGCGTCTTTTGCGATCTTACAAAGCTTCAAATGACGTGTCGACTATTAAATCAGTCGTCGACGATTTTGATAGTCGACGTAATCGTGACTAGTCGACAAATCGTGGCAGCCCTACTTGGGTATGAGAGATGCTAATTTGAGGTGGTGTATGTGAATCACAGGATGACAGCTCACTAAAGTGGCTAAAGAGGAGGGAAACAAATCTTCTGGGGGGAGGGGCTTCAAATACAGGCAGGTGTGCTTAAAGGAGCCAATATACCTCTAAACCTTTATGAACTTATGCTGTGGTTAATGTTTGACTAAACTATTTGCCTGGATGAGAACAGACAGATGAACGAATGAAGCGAGAAGCTTATTTTAAGGAGCATCTTGTTGGCCATGTAAAACCACACATTTCAACAGCTCTAATTCAGGATGTTGAAATGTGTTTAGTGGGACTTTCCTGGGAGGAGGGGAGAAAAAAATAAAATAAAATAAATAAATCAGTCAATTTCCCCTGTGAGCCACATCCAAACAGCTACCTCATTTGTCACAAGCTTCCATAATGCATCAATCAATTCCCAAAAAGCTGTCGGCAGAGCAAATACAGGAAAACAGCGGCATGTGTTTAAATTATGGAAGCTTAATCCACAGTTGTTATAATAGGACGTGTGGCAGTGTGTGCAGAGTAATTACATACGATGATGAAGTCGGGTGCAAAAAGGTCTCCCATTCAATCAGTGGATTTTGCCAGGAGACACATTAAGTTTATATTTGTATCATAAATTGTTTCACTCAGTCGCACATTAGCAAAAGGTCAATTAGAAGCAAAACGCACAGAGCAACCAAGTGCCTTTGAAGGTATGATGCCAGACTGTATGTGCTACAGAGCAGCTACTGGGCCCCAAATTGTTGCACTTCATTTGCTCTGCACTCTGCAGAGTCACGTGTTATGCATATTTTCCCCCAGTCTTTCTGTCAAGGCCCAAGAGGGGAAAAAAAAGAAAACAAAACACAAGAGAGACAGTAAATTTTGTGTGAAGTGACATCTAATATGAAAAAACCCCCTCAGGGAACAAAACTTGTAATTTCATGTATCTATGCAGAGATGTTTGTAGTGCGGTTGTCCTTAAGTTGGCATATGTGTTTCTGGGCTGGGCCTGTAGTCACTTGTGGTTTCGTACATGTATCTATGCACACACTGCTCCACAGCCTCTTTCCCTGCAGACTTGTTGCAGCTGTGTATGTTGTTTTTGCTCATCACTGATATTTATTATGTTACACTGTGAAAAACTGGCCCTGCCCCCTTTATTTACTACCGCTATGTCGGTTACATATTCAACACATAATGTTTTCAGTAGAAACAGCTGTGCATTCTCAACTTAATACTCAATATTTTTGTCTCCTTAAGTTCAGAAGAAAGATGAAAGGAGGTTTCTCATTTCTAGGTGGTGGCTTATCATTTGCTGAAATTACAACTAATGGGGCAGATTTCTGGCACTCACTGGCTGGTTCCCAATGAGTGCCAGTTCTGTGTGAAAATGGCTTGTTGATGCCATAGGTCAAAGAAGAAAGGCCCGATTCCAGCTGACAGGAAGGCTACAGTAACTCAAGCAATGGCTTTTTACAACCAAAACATGCAGTAGAGCATCGTTGAATACATTGAACCTTGAAGCAGCAGAAGCCAACACAGGGTGCCACTTCTGTCAGCTAAGAACAGGAAACTAAGGCTATAATTCACATGTGCTCACCAACATCAGAAAAACATCACCTCATCCGATGAGTCTCGATTTCTGTTGCAACATTCGGATGGTAGGGTCAAAAATTGGTATTAAAAAACCCAAAAGAAACCAAAAACAAGCATGAATCTGTCCCAACTCGTATCAGTGGTTCAGGTTGTTGGTAGTTGTGTAATAGTGTGGAGGACTTTATCCTGGCACACTTTGGGCCCCTTAGTAACAAATGATTGTTTAAAACATTGTTGCTGTCCATATCAATCCCTTTGCAACAACAGTGTCTCATCTTCTGATATCCTGTTGAAAGCAGCTAAGACACCCTGTCATAAAATTACTCAATATCCTATTTACAAGAGAGACTGTTTCAGACAAACATATTAACAAATACAAATAATAAACGATATCTCACACACGCACATGCACACGCACACAGAAGCAACACTCACCTGTTCTTTCAGAGGTGCAATTAGAAAAAAGCTGAAGTAAACTAAAATTGAGAAGCTGTACCAAGCCCCCAGAATAAGATAAATCAGGGTTAATTTGAACTGAATCATGCATAGCTACCCTACTGAAGTACAAGCATAAAAATATAGAGCTGAAAATGAGGATAATAAAACCTCAGTAATGAAGTAGGAGCAAGTAAAAAAAAAAAAAAAAGAAGCACTGCTCTGAGTTCACAGTGCTGAAACGAGTCCTCTATTTAATTCTGTTCATGTTTTATTTGCTTGATCTGCAAACCGAGACAAGCAATATTATATTTATACTTTATTGTTGTGGCATTTGCATTTCATTTTTCCACTTTAAGCATTCTAAGAAAAAGGCTTTTAAGACAGGGTCATTTGCATGTAACATTAAAAATTTCTCTTTACATTTGGTTGTTGTAGTTTTCTTTATGAAAGGATGTAAAAAAAGGAAACCATTACGGTGATATGCACAGACCTGTAGATTTTGGAGAAATAATGCCAAAACTCACTCACAGCCACAATGTTAAGCCACAACTGGTCATCAGTGAAAACAAATTACACTTACTGTATGGGAAACTGATGCGAGGTATGACATCTTCCTCAGTGGCGATCACTGACTGGAGAAAGCTAGCCAATAGCAGTGCAGCAGCAGGAAGACAGTGGACAGTCCCAGTTAATGTCCACATGGTTGCCTGCTTGTCTAAGATGAACACGGGTGTACAAGGTTTGTTTTAAGATTCCTTGGAACACATTAAACTCCTATTGATGCCACAGAGGGTTATTTTCTCACTCCCATCTTCCTGCAAGTCAGAGGGGGGTGGATCGTGTCCTTGATTCGAGTCTTGTATTCCCAGTGGTCTTTACATACAGTTTGTAGCCTCTTAGTCTAGAGAAGGGGAATCCTTTCTGGATTAAAGGCTGCTGGATTTCATCTTCTCATAGTGCTCTGCGGTTGATCAGTGCTAAGCTCCAACCAGACTCCACTTAGTTAAAGTCATCTTGGATCTGTGGAAAGGAGAGAGAGAAGTTTTTTCTTTATGTGCGTTCCAACAACAGTTTAAAAAAAAAAAAAAAAAAGATGAAACACAAGCTGGAATAACAGATCCTTATCCAGCTTCTGACGCTATAACCATAAACTACAAACGCAAAAAGACCAATACATTCAAGCAGCGGCTCATTCTAGAGGATGCTGTGTATTTTAATTCAAACAGCTGTTATTTGAGAGGAGTGTTCATTAGTTTTGCCAGCAACAACGGCATCACCCAAAAATGACCTTCCACATCCATCTGCCCCTCAGCTTTCAATAGTGAACAAACAACCTTTTGTTTTAGTTTTTTTCCCACCACAAAGAAAACTCAGCAAAACAGATCATTCAGCGCTCTAACCAGCTAAAATGAAAATACTCATCATCTGGTAGCTTGAAGGGTTTCACAAACTTAAGCCTAAGTGAATATCCAATTTGCTGTTTGAAAGACGAAACGCCTACTACATTTTTTTTTAATCTCTGTATTTAATTATGCTGTCAACAAATCGGTGAGAGATCCCCCTAGAAGATAATACGGGAGTCTGGCTCCAATTTTGTGGCTATGTGGGGAAATAAAAGAACAGTGACTCCCAAGACAACCCGGTAATTTGTCACAAGAAGGTGCAATGAACAGCTTTTATTTGCTTTGTGTGAGTATACAGATCAGAAGCATGTTATGTAAATCTATACTGGTATTTTTGTGTTTAGTGGGCTGTCAGTTTTATTGAAAAGCACTTAAAGTAAGCACCAGCCCATTTGTTTCAACCCTCTGAGTTTTTTGAAACAACATCAACAGCTATCAAACCTGTCATGATTTATTTTTGCTTGTTTGAGGAAAACACAAATTGTTGACACGAGCCCAAACCTTCAAATATGAAGATGCATTATGTTTCCTTTGAGGTCACGTTTATTGCAACTAGGTGTTGACACATTTCTGCCTTTGCTAGCCAGTGACAGAAACAGTGGTCTATTACAGTCATGGTCTATTTTTATTAATTACTGCCTGCTGGTTCAAAGAGGTTATGATGAACCGGAGCTGTAGCCACGAGAAAAAAGCCCCTCTTTTCCTGTGAAATAAAATTGTATATGAGCAAGGTAGAAATTAAGTAAATGACCAGTGCAATACTTTAAAGCAGGAAATGAGCAGCTTTACAATAGCTGTGTCAGACAAAACTAACACTTAACCATCCGAAGCCACCTGTCCAGAATGTGGACGCCAACCTGCGTAGAAGAAAGGATATTTGTGATTAGCACCTTCATGTTGGTCTTCAACAAAACCTGAGGAAGATGGCTTTTAAGCTCTCTCAGTTTACTATCTAGTAAACTGACACTTTGCTTGTTTACCATTTGAAACTGAACACAGGTGGCACCTTTTTATGAGTTTTTTCACTGATAACAAAGCATTTCTTTCACCAAAAGCAATGTCATGAGAGAACAGATACTGAATCAAAAAGAGCTGTGAAAAAAAACAAAACAACTAAGAGCCTAGACTGTTTTTGTAAGCCTGGAGAAGTATTAAAGAGGTATTAAATTATAAAGCACACTCGGTAAATCCTGTTTGGTTTAACATGTTAAATCAAAATAACCCGTTTTGTACGCAGTATACTGCAATTTCAAATTAACACAAAAATAGAAGCGCTATGGCCGAAACAAATGATCTTTTCTAAAATTTTGACCCAGTGATGATGCGAGTTGAAAGTCCAGGGGATCACCAAAGTTATTACAACCCTGTCTGAGGTGGGGTATGCACGCTTGCAATATATTTCAATCTTGGTCCAAGTGATGGCCTTACTGACTCCTTACAGCAATACCACATGCCTGTTGTGCACCCAAAACAGCTGTAGATCATATATTTGCCAGTGTTTTCAGACCTAAACCAGAGTGCAAACTATTACTTGATTCTTATGAATTCACCAATATCCTGACCGGAGTACAGATGCCTCCGTTCAGTGAGCTCAGTAAAGCCCTCGTGTTTGATATAACTCCCTACTCCTTATTGCCCGGCAGTGCTAGATGCCTCCCTGAAGAACCCACAGAGGTGGTTAGGTTTAGAAAGTAAACACTGCAGAGCACATGGCGTCTCTCGCATCATTGAAGGAACTCCCTGAAGACCTCATGCAAATATTTATGACAGCCAATAAATACAGCAGACCAAGATGAGCGTGGGACAATAAGTAGCTCCTGGGCATCTGCGGAGGTAGGGCCCAGCTGGAAAGTACCATTTTAAACTTTTGAGCAGCCTGAATAATACTTTTTAACATACTCTGCTACCTGCCCAGTCTGAAGAGTGGGGAGCTGACTTGAATACATCTGTATCTCAGTGTCACACCCTGGTCTTCCCCTCCCCGGGGTCTGCAGCATCCAACTAATAGGTCTGTGTCACTCTTCACTTCACTGCCAGGCCTGCTGTGGTTCTTGCTGCTCCACTGAAGCTAGCTGAGTCACTGTGGGCTGAAACATCCACCCACGGTACTCTAACATTTCCTTTTGCCTCCGGTGGTCCCTCTCATGCCTGCTGGGACAACAAGCTTGGCTGCCCAGCATCTCTTGCACACCTCAAGCCTCCATGTTCCCAGGGCACATCCTTATGTAACTGCAAGTGTTTTAAATTTTAATGAAAAGAGGCGTGCTGTTAGAAGTGTTTCCTGCCACTCGGCTTAAAAGCTTCCTAATTCATCAAACTCTTTAGGGCAGTAATGCATGAAGAAATATCTCAACACACTTAAATTGACCCTTTACCACCTCAAAAATGTTGCTAATGCCCACCAAAAATTTCACCAAAATTTCAGTCATGAGTAATTTGGTTCCAATTTAATTGGTTCAGAAAACATTTTACACAATCGTGTTTGCTTAATTACAGCAAAAACATTCAGACCTATCACATGCACACCTAGTCGTGACTTCTACCAAAGAATTAAGCCAAAAAACTAAAACTAAAACACATTTACTTACAGTTTACTCATCTGCCTCCTTACAGAAATATTGGCCTCAAAAAAAGAGAAAATAAAAAGTTTGTCTTGTCTTTTTTGACAAAACTATGCCAATAGCAAGAGGCCCATGCACCCGAATAGGAAACAAGGTATCTGGGGAATCCAAGAGGCATGATGACTCATAAATGTTCATATAACTGGGCCCGGTGCCTGAGGAGCACTAGATGGACACTTTGCAGGCCTCAGGCAGATCTGTTCAGCCTTAACAAGGGCGCGAAGGCCAAGTAAACTGATGTAATACTGCATTCATCCTCTTTTCTTTCAGATTTTAAAAAGACCCCATCATACGTAAATGCATTTTAGTCAAAGTACTCATGCAGTGTCCTAATCCAATCTCAAAAGCAATGCAACAAGGGTCTGAAGGAAAAAAGTACTAAATATTAATAAGCATTAAATCATATTTGACAGCAAGTGCTCGACCAAAGAAAGTGATCTAATTAGAGGTAACAATTATAGGATTTATAGGATTAGAATTCTATTCAACCAGAGCTGTTACAGTAAAAGTGAGCAACTATACTCAATGCCATTGGACCCATCTGCTCATGCAGGCGAGGGTCTGCTGCTCCTTGTATCTGTGAAGGGTGAATCTGGTGCCATATTGCTTAAAGCTACAGATTCATTAACCTTCTGAACCTCCCTCGAGGCTCCCTATTAATTCCTGCATCTGTTCATATGGCAAAAGGATGTGAAAGACACATTGGGCGATACACTCCGTCAGGTCATGTCGAGTTCATTGGAAAGGTAGCAGCATGAATGCTAACCATTTGGCTAGCTTTTGATTAAAAGACTGGGCTTTGTGCTAGGCTACGAATTCTCAATAACTCTTCTCTGCAAAGTGACTTGTCTCACATTTGGTCTTTGGCACAAAATGAGGCACTTATGGAGATAATCAGCAGCCAGGCAGGACCTTGTGATGAGAGCAGTATGACTGAGTTTGACATGAGGGTAGATTAGGCTGCGGTCCAATCCATTAACAGTATCATGAGCACATCTAAGTGAAAGGGAACTAGAAAAGCATTTTTAATTGCACAAGTTGCCATCAAATCTTATCTGTGTCCGTCAGGCCAGATTTAAGGGTGACTTTGGGGAACTGTATCCAAAATGATGTAATGACTTCTTCCAGTAACAAAAAAGGACAGCAATGTTTAAATCAAATAAATGTTAACGTTAATGTTTAATGTTGCCTCTTGGGTTTAAATTACTATTTACAAAAGATTTGTGGAGCTATCATCTTCGGCAAAGAAGGCCTCAGTAGGCGACTGACAAGGCAGAGACTCCTTACTATGTCTGTCATCATAACTCAGACTAGCAGCCTGCTTTCTTGGGTGTGCAATGCATAATTATTGCAAAAATCAAGATCGCTGAGGGAGGTACATTTTTTTCCCCACCCAAATCAATGGCATGGACTCCAAATCATTTTTTTCAACCCACCTTGCTAGACATACCGGCAATATTTACTTTGTTTTTAAAGAACACGTCATCAGATAAATAGTTAATAGGTTAAACTAACTTTAACCTTTCTGAATCTTAATGAATCAGGGGTAAAAGGTGAACTACTTTTCAAATATCCGTGAGGTAAAACATTGCATGCTGTACTTTGCAGGAACATTAGGTGAAACGTTAACGCTTACTCTGTCCACCAGGGAATGGGACTGTGGGTAGTAGAAGGAAAACTTTCAGGTGAGCAGACTTCTCCCACACCATGAAGGGAGTGCGCTAAATAAATCACGACTGGGTTAAAAATAAACCATAAGCACCCCGTGCAGCAGTTGAGACAGCACCAATTGTTTGCTAAGCTGGCAGAGCACATAGTGAATTCATCATCACAGTGACTCTGTGAGTTTACATGACGGTTAAGCATGAGTCAGCATGTCTGGATGAGGGAGCTCAGGGATAAAGATGTCAGACAACAGAGATGTGTAGACAACTGCGATGATGTCATTAATTGCAAACTCGCATGTAGATATCACTCTTAAGCTACAATTACTTTT